CTGTCACCTTAAACCTATGCCCTCTAGTTTTGGACTCCCCCCACCCTGGGGAAAAGACCTTAGTCCCCAACATCACAGATACGAGCCTTTAGCCAAATTGATTCACTCTGCGTGATATCAAGAAATGATTGGAGACACTTGATACTGCAAAGGCTATGGGCACTGTAACACTCTGGCAATAGTACTGAAGACCTGTGCTCCAGAATTTGCTGCTCCTCTAGCCAAGCTGTTCCCTTACAACTATAATGCTGACTTCTACCCGTCAATGTGGAAAATTGGCCAGATACATCCTGTACATCAGAAGCAGGACAGATTCAATCTGACCAATTAACATTCCATCAGTCTCCTCTCGATCATCAGTAAAGTGATGGAAGGTGTCATCAACAGCGCTATCAAGCAGCACCTGCTCAGCAATAACCTGCTCAGTGACGCCCAGTTTGGGTTCCGCTCAGTTCCTGACCTTAATCCAGTCTACCTGTGACATCAAGACCTCATTTGATGAGTGTGGTGTCAAGGAGTCCTCGCAAAACTAGAGACAATGGGACATATAAAACAGAAATTGCTGGAGAAACTCAGCAGGTCTGGCAGCATCTGTGGAGAGAGTTAAGGTTTCACGTCCAGTGGCCATTTTTCAGAATCAATGGGGATCAGAGAGAAAGCTCTCCACCGGTTAAAGCCATACCTGCCACCCGGCTCAAAGGAAGAAGGGTCACCGGACTTGAAAAGTTAACTCTGCTTTGTCTCCATAGATGCTGCCAGACCTGCTGTGTTTCTCCAGCAATGTCTGTTTTTGTTTGTTTCAGAGCTCCATAGTGCTTTGCATAACTTTGTTAGCACAGGAAGATGGCTGTGTAGTTGGAGGTCAGTCATCTCAGCTCAAGACATCTCTGCAGGAGTTCCTCAGGGTAATGTCCGAGGCCCAACCATCTTCAGCTGCTTCATCAACCAGTTTTGCTGCACCATAAGTTTGGATGTTCACTGATAAATGCACAACGTTCAGCAACATTCCTGACTCATCATCAGTAGCAGTCAATATCCAAATGCAGCAATACCTTGACAATAGCTAGCTTAGCCTGACAAACAACAAGTAACATTCACGCCACACAAATGCCAGGCAATGATCATCTTCAATAAGAGACAATCCATTGACATTCAATGGCATTACCATCACAGAATCTACTACTATCAGCGGCCTGCAATTTCACAATTGACCAGAAATTGAACTGGACAAGCCATATAAATACAATGGCTACTAAAGCATGTCAGCAGCTAGGAATCCTGTAGGATGTAACTCACCTCCTGACTCCCAAAGACTTGCCCACACTCTATAAGGCACAAGTTAGGAGTGTAATGGAATACCCCCCATTTGCCTGAACGAGTGTAGCTCCAACAACACTCATGAAGCTTGACATCATCCAGGACAAAGCAGCCGCTTGATTGGCATCACAATGGTAAACAAATACTCTTCCACTATTGACACTCAGTAGCAACAGTGTGTACTATCTACAAGATGTACTGCAGAAAGTTCCTCAGACAGCCCCTTCCAAACCCATGACCTCCACCATTTAGAAGGACAAGGACAGCAGATAAATGGAAAACCAGCACCTGCAGGTTCCCCTCCAAGCCACTCACCATTCTTACTGAAAAATATATTGCTGTGCCTTCAGTGTTGCTGGGTCAAAATCCTGGAACTTGTGGGTCTACCCACAGCAGATGGACTGCAGCGGTTCAAGAAGGCAGTTCACCACCTTCTCAATGGCAATTGGAGAAGGGCAATAAATGCTGGCCTGGCCAGGTGCAGCCACATCCAATGAGTGAATTAAAAAAAATAAGGTAGGTGCATCGAAAGTGTCAGGGGTGGCTCTTATCTTTTAGCCAAAACTGGTAGATCTGCCACTACACCTGTCCAAAGTGATCAAAGGGCTTGGTGTGTGTCAAGTTCAAGTCTCATCAGTATAATCTGAGTTTTCAATGAACACAGCTGACACCTTAATATCCCAGGGACTGGAATGTCTGGTAGTTTCAAGAACCATCAAGTCACTAAAAATAAGAGCTGGATATGGTAGGAAGCAGTCAATAGTTGGCAACTGTATATTCGTAGGACTGCCTTCGCCTCCCTACTTCTGACTCTACCAACATTTCCACAAAAAAATAACGTGCCAGGCTATTTTTGGAGCAGTTTCCAGAACTCCCTATATATATGCTACACAAACCCAACAGGTGAAAAGAGATGATTTTGCAATGATGCAGCGCTGGTGGGAAACCCTGCACACATCACAAACTGTTAAAATCATCCTTCTCTGGAGAAAAATATATACAGAATAAAGATCTTTGCTCATCAGACACTTTGCTGCAATTGTGGTGTGCAGATGATAGTGTGGGCCTCTGTCTCACTGAAAATAATTTGACTGGTCTAGAAGGATGGAAGATTTTCAAAACTGACTTAATGCCAGAAACAGAAAAAAAACATAAGTTTCTAAAAAGATAGATGATAATTGTGCAAGTCACCACTCCAATGCTCGGGTGTTAACTGCAATACACACTGCTGATAAAACAGAGAGCATGGTCGGACCCCACCGCGGGAAAAGCTTGAGTATAATTCCATTAACCTCTGCCTTCACTCTCGGCTGTTTCTAGTCTTTTCGTATTTCTCTTATTTTTAATTTGATGTGTGAGTGAGAGAGAGAGAGAGCAACAGCGAGGGAGGGAGAGAGAGATGATTGTGCTTCCTGATTAGCCCATCCTTATTTGACAAAGCAACTATTCAACTTCTTCTGGAGAACATATATAATTCTTCAGACTCATTTACGTTTCTAAAAGTCTAGATTTTCAACCTTGAGGCAGATAGCAGGAGTCAGGTAAACCACCACGGGAAGTGGGGGGGGGGGGGGGGGGTGCCTGCCCGTCTCAGGAGAGAGAGTCTGTGAAGAAGAGATGTTCGTTGCTGGATGGTCAGTACAGCTTCTCAGTCAAGAACACCTACTGACCATCCAGCAACAAACATCTCCATTAGAATGCTGGAACAGTTCAGATTCTGGGAAAATATTACTTGATTGACAGCTCTGAGTCTCTTATCCTTGTGTTAATTGTGCTTATTTATTTTACACTAAACAAAGAGGTTTCAAGCGCTTGCAGTTTCTGCAGTTGGAAATTTAATTGGCCTGGATAATGGATATTTTAATTATCCTGTTGTAAAAGGAGACATTCTTTAAGAATGCGTAAAGTAATAAATGAATAATTTTAAAACACTTTTTATGTACACATTCTGCAGCTTCTTCTTTATCTATCCTCAAAAAAATTCTAATTTCTGCCAACCCTGTCTTCCCCTTCATGAAGTCATGCTGATAGTGCGAAACGATATTATGTTTTTCTAAATGCTCTTATCCTGTATAACAGGCTCTAACATTTTCCCAATAGCAGATGTCAAGTTTACTGGCCTACAGTTATCTGCTTTTTGTCTCCTTTCATTTTTGACTAAAGGTGTTACATCGACAGTTTTCCAATCCTCTGGCACTGTTCCAGAATCCAAGGATTGAGGTTCAATTGTGGTCTTCAGCCCTACACAGTCATTGTGATTCTTCTGACATAACAAGTGTTCCCTTTTTGGCTTCTCTATAATCCTCCAACTTACTGATAATGAAAGATTGATTGACATAGTGGCTGAGTGGTTAGCACTGCTGCCTCAAAGCAACAGGGCCTGGGTTCAATTCCAGCCTCGGGTGACTGTCTGTGTGGAGTTTGCACATTCACCCTGTGTCTGCGTGGGTTTCCTCCCACAGTCCAAAGATGTGTTGCTTAGATGGATTGGCCATGCTAAATTGCCCATGTTGTCCAGGGATGTGTAGGTTAGGTGGTTTAGCCATAGGAATGATAAGGGTGGGGGGGTTGAGTCTGGGTGGGATGCTCATCAGAGAGTCAGGGTGAACTTGATGGGCCAAATGGCCTGTTTCCACATTGTAGGGATTCTATATAAAGCAATTCATCACGGACAATTCCAAAGCAGCAGATGGATTGCAGTGGTTCAAGAAGACCGCTCACCACCACCTTCTTAATAGCAACTAGGGGCAGGCAATAAATGCTGGCCCAGCCTGCAACACCCACATCCCACAAATGAAAAGAAAAACAAAAGTTATAGCCAGGTTTCATGTCTCTTAACCTTAAAAGAAGATTATGCTTTAAGCAGTGATTTTACATATGAAGTGAAACAGAATGGCCTAAAATGGAGTGACATTGGATTGAAATCTGCCTGGCAACAGGCCAATGTGATCGAGGGAATAGGTCGAATCCCACTGAAACATAGTGTAAGCTTTAACAACTGGACACAAAAGGAAGGCAGCTGGCCTTCCTATGTGCAGACTCCCAGAGGTACTCAGACATTGTTTTAGAGATGACCACCCACAACAGGTGCTGTTTTGCGAAGTGAAAGAAATGAACAGCTTTTGGGGAACCAGCAAGCAGAGTGCTGGTGAGAACACAACTCATTTTGAAAAACAAATTGTGATTGTGGTAAGTTGGAGACCAGGCTGAACCCTTAAAATGGAAATTGATTATGCTCATAGACCTGAAGTACAATGGCAGATTTATCTTGGCAAATTGGGGGAGAAGGCCTGGGAGAATGACAGTCAAGACTACATGTCCACAGAGGATGAGATGTACTGTCTAATATTGTTTGTGGTTTTTGATTGTGTTAAGAAGTTATTTGGAAATACTTTCCATTAATTTATTAGGTTTCTACTAAATGATGTTTAGTCGATGTTGATTTCATTTGGTTTGTTGCAGTAGAAGTCTTCTAACATGAAACTTTGTTGAACACTTTGTGCAGATTGTATGAAATCCAAAATGTCTTTTTAAAATTTATCCACCTCTTTAGGGACTATTACAGAAACACAGAGATTTAAACCCTTTCCTCTTAATTGGGAACCCAGCTCTGCACGATAGAAATTGATGCCTGAATCAAAATGCTTCCCAAAGTGTTACCAAAAACGAATGTCTTTAATTACCTCTGTACTGAAGCAGCTCTCGTCTTCTGTCCTGTACATTTTGTAGTCTCCATCAGCTTTGCGGATTTGGTCCATCGTGCCTCGGGTCTGAAGGGTCTCTTCCTGTTCTTTGTGACTGGGGACAAGCTGCCATTCGGGCTGGTCCCTCAGTTTGGACTGTTGAGTGCATGGGCGATTTAACAAAAACAACAAAGGACAGGGAGGGAATAAAAAAAAAAACAAAAATGGGTATAGTAGACGACTAAAAAACTACAAGACAAAGAAAAGCGTGAAAAGGAAAACCAATTTAAACACAGTGGCATAAGAGAGTGATGAAAACAGAACCAAAATGAGTATAAGCAAAATGATGGGCTGAAACATCTGAAAAGAAAAAAGAGAAAGAGAGGAAAAAAGAATGCAAACACTGGTTATGAGGCGCATGCAATGAAGGATGCATGAATCAAACCAACGGCAAGCTTACAGATCATGAAAGAATTTGCCTATCCCTGCAGGAGCCATGCACAAAGCACCATTTGGGAGCGGGTTAGTGAGGGGTGGTTTCTTGGCTGGAGGCAAGTACCAGCTTTAAATCATGGTGCTGCCTGTCTGAAGACAGCACACACTCTCCGCTCTGTACAGGAAGGGGGAATTGGTTGATTTCATGGCATGTCTCCTTGTGTCTTTCCATGGATCAATAAGCGAATGGGGAATCTTGAACTCTCTCTGGTTATTCTGTAATTCAGCTCATGGAATTGGATCCAAAGGACTTGTGGAACTCAGAGGTTTGAACAAATGCCTTAATGAATGGATCAGTCTACACACTCCTGTTGGTGATAACAATGGAGGAATTATATTGCTTTGGTCACTACTTTAAGGTGGGAGTTAACTATTTATTTTTAATGAGAAAGTAAGAGGTCACACAACACCACATTATACCACAACCGCACCTCCCAGTCGCACACCCACGCTCGGTTCGCACTAAACAACTGCACCTCCCAGTCGCGAACCATTTCAATTCCCCCTCCCATTCCTTAGACGATATGTCCATCCTGGGCCTCCTGCAGATGCCACCCGAAGGTTGCAGGAACAGCTCCTCATATTTCGCTTGGGAACCCTGCAGCCCAATGGTATCAATGTGGACTTCACATGCTTCAAAATCTCCACTCCCCCAACCACATCCCAAAACCAGGCCAGCTCGTCCCCGCCTCCCTAACCTGTCCTTCCTCCCACCTATCCCCTCCTCCCACCTCAAGCCCCACCCCCATCTCCTACTTATTATCCTCATCCCGCCCCCTTGACCTGTCCATCCTCCCTGGACTGACCTATACCCTCCCTAACTCCCCACCTACACTCACTTTTACTGGCTCCACCTCCGCCTCTTTGACCTGTCTGGCTCCTCTCCACCTATCTTCTCCTCTATCCATCTTCTCTCTGCCTCCCCCTCTCTCCCTATTTATTTCAGAACCCCCTTCCCCTCCCCCATTTCTGAAGAAGGCTCTCGGCCCGAAACAACAGCCTCCCTGCTCCTCTGATGCTGCTTGGCCTGCTGTGTTCATCCAGCTCTACACCTTGTTATCTCTATACCATATTATAGTCCAACAGGTTTGTTTGAAAACACAAGTTTTCGAAGTCGACTTTACCTGACGAAGGAGCAGCGCTTTGAAAGCTTGTGATTTCAAATAAACCTGTTGGACTATAACTTGGTGTTATGTGATTTCTGACCTTGTCTACACCAGTCCAACACCAGCACCTCCACAACACATTTTTAATGAAGTATCATCCTACTACACTTCTGGACAAATCTATTGAACATTTAACGCTATCAATATTTTTTAGGAAATCCAGTGACATTTATAAACTACTCCTTATTTAATCACACCAGTCTTTCAATGTGCAATGTTTGGTGTTGATGTTTTTACTTCCATTTTCTCACTGAAGCCAATGGTTCACATTGTGTTAGTATTCCATTGGATATCACCAGCCCCTAACAACCAAAAACACTCTAAATTATCACTTCTTCTTGGCTGATATTCGATGTAGATTGGCAATAGACTGACTGTTCTCGGGAAATACAGAAAATAAACTCCAAACTGTCACGCAACACGTGCCAGCCATTAGTGATGTGGTCAGCCTGTGGCAGATGAGAAGTGGGATTCGCGTTCGCAATTTGTTGGTCTCAATTTCACCTATCGATCATGCCACCAGTTTCTACCTCACTCAGGCTACAAAAGTGAAGCACAACCAAAATAGTAATTGGTGAGGTTTGGCTGTTAGAATGGTGGAGTTTCACAGCTCAGCAACATTTACAGATTTCCCAGGCAACCTGTCTAAAAAATCTGATAAAACTCCTTACCATTTACAAATTAATTAAGAACATGTGTTAAGATTTGGTACACATTTTACTCTGCTATCAGGCTCAATGAAATTGCGGCTTCTAACTGCATTGGTAGGTGGACATAGAATCAGAAGCAGGCCATTCAGCCCCTTGAGTTATTCTGTCATTCAATTAAATTTTGATTGATGCATATCCTACACATAATTATCCACCTTGGTCACTATCAATCAATAACCTAGATTAACAAAAAGCTGTGTAGTGATGGGAGTTTTATTAACTTCATTTAATGCACCATTGTGATGGGTTGATCGAACTGCAGCATAACAAAGTAATGAACAATTCACAGGGCAACACTCCACTGCCCCATGGTAGTCTTGCAAAATATATCTGTATGTCACGCTGGGTCAGCTTCTTCAGTGTGTAATGCCTGTCCCCACCAGTTCTCGCTGCTATGATGAACTAACTCAGTGGAAAGATTCTGGTTTGCTTGGGTAAGTATTTTAAGATTGTATGTAATTGAATTATCGGGAAGTATTTGTTCAGGTTTAACCACCTCATTCCATAATACCCAAATCCTCGCTTCATTGAACACATCTAACAGTGTAAACAAAGTTGCCGCATTTTGCAAAGTTTGAAATCAAACAGGGCCCGAGGCGCTACGGCAACAAAGGGTCCAGTGAAAGGAGGGTAGAAAAGAGATTAATCACAGCAATAAATCTGAGGTGAAGCCAATAAAAACTTGTATAACCCACATCGTTAAACCTTCTTCTGTGTCCAGTGGAGAAAGAGCTGGATTTTTACTTCTGGGCCATATATTTTGGAAGCAACCAGTCAGCTGAATCCTAACTGGCCTGTTCACTCTCCAATCAAAGGTACGTACCAATGCCATTCTGCTTCAGAAAGCAAGCTGTGTAAAACCTTGCTCATCTTTCACCGATATCGTAGGCCCACAGCTCAGCACCAGCACTCATAGTGATGCTATGACTCAGTGCGCAAACAGTGCACCTGGCCAAGCTCTCCGTCTGGCTACCTCCTGGAGAAGGTGTGAGAAATGCGATGGTTGGCACCTACTGAATTTGGCACTGCTCCTAACCCATGTTGGCTCAGAAACAGCAGAAAACGAGTTGTCTCAATGACATTCTGCCCTGTCTGATCTGCTGTAAAAAAAAGATGAAAGTACATAGAGGCTTTATATCTTTGATACGTAGAATTTGATTAATGCTACATCTTACATAGCCTAATTCCATTTGAGCTGGTCTCTAGGGGTTTTTGAAATGAGCTGTAAAGGTCTTCATCAGGGTAAATCTTACAATTTTTCCCAATTCTGCTCGAGCTTCACAACAAACTCCATGAGCTGAGCACAGAATGTATTTAGTGATTGTTTTTGTGCAGTTTGGTTTATGCTTAATAAAGATGCAAAGTGTTATTGAGTTTAAAGGCAACAGCAGAAGCGAGAGCAGTAGTGGTGCATCTAAAAGCAGACAGACCCAGCTTGCTTACCTGGAAGTCAGCGATGAGCTCCTTCCCCAGAGTTCCGACAGGAGAGTCGCGAGACATAGAAGTCACAGATGACAGGAAGCTTCCAGACTCTGTCAGATGGGGCAAGGGCGACAGGTCATCCATTTGTTCCCTCAGCCCTTCCCCGAGATGGTCAACTTTCTCCATGAAGGTGTGCAACTCGGAGCGGAACGCCTTCATCCTGGTGTTGATGGTGTCCAGAAGCTCAGGCTGGTTTCTGCTGCTGCTGCTTCTCTCCCCGTCTTCGCTGAAGCCTTGGTCTGAGGCAGCACTGGTCACCAGCAGCTTGGCGTCGTAGATGAGGCTGTTGGTGTCTGTAATCAGGCGGTCGACCGTCCTGCCCAGGCGCTCGGCCTCCCTTTTGATGCTGATGAGCGACTCCGTGTCTTCCCTCTTCCTCAGCAGCTCCAAGGTGCAGATGTCAACCACCTCTGGTGGCTTGCCCGGCGTTTTCTCGCACACCTCTTCCGAATCACTCTCGCCACCGATGGGGCCCTCCCTCTTGGGCTGGGGCGGGCCTCGGCTCTCCTCGCCGTCACTCTCCTTCTTGCCCGGGTCACTGTCGGCGTCGCTGTCCCTGGGGCTGGCCGTGCGGAGGCCGAGGTGCGACGCCAGGTCATAGCGCTGCACGTTGGAGATGAGCACCCGGTTCTCGTACTGGAGCTTCATCACCTTGCCGCTCAGCTCATTGACCTGCAGCCGGGCTGCTTTCAGCTCCTCCTGAAGGGAGACTCCCGGTTTCTCCTCCAGCCAAGCAGGTTCCTGGCCGGGGCCGCGCCTCAGCACGCTGATCTCATGGGTGAGCTGCCGGTTGTGGTCTTCGATCTCGCTGATGGAGCGGCGCAGAAGCTCCGCCTCCTCCTCCACAAACTGCAGGTGCCTCCGGAGCTCGGCTGCTGACTCCAGTGAGTCGCCGTGTGGCGAGGCAGGAATGCTCGGGATGTGTTCCCGGCCTGGACACTCCCTTTCGTGCTGGCACTTCATGTCGTCCATCTCGGCTTTGAGGCCTCTGTTCTCCACTTCCAGCTCCACAATCTTCCTGCCCAGGATGTTGGCCTCTTCCTCCACCAGTTTCAGGCGCAGTTTGAGCTCGGCCTCTCTAGTGCTGGGAGGTCCTCCGGCCTCACCAGTAGGGAGTGGGCTGTCCACATCCCCATACAGGGACTTATACTTCTGCAGTTCATGCTCCAATTCATCCTTCTCCCTTCCCAGTTTTGCCATCTTCTTGCGCATCAAAGAGCCTTCCTCCTTCGCAAACTGGAGCTGGCACCTGAGGTCAGCGCTATCCTCCTGAATGTAGAAAGATGAACGGGTCATTAATAGAGTCCTACAGCACAGCAACAGACCCTTCAGCCCAACTTGTCCACGCTGACCCAAACATTTCAATCTGACCTGGTCCCATTTGTCAGCGCTTGCTGGATAACCAGTGGGTGCAACAAAGCTGCAGCACCTTACTCCTCCTCCTCCTCCTCTCACTCCCCAGCCTGTCGATTGAAGCCGGAGTTAATGTTAATTTGACATGCCGGAGGGGTTTGTAACTCCCCAGAGGGAGGAAGTGGTTCACAAATCAATCGATCACAGCTCTTTCTGGGGACATGATGCCAGCAAAAGCCTGTGAGCTAATGAGGTGGCTGTGTATTTGACAGTGTATCAGGGAGAACTGAAGCCTGGATGTAAGGTCTCTACTGGGACATTCATTACACAGCTGCTGACTGAGGGGAGGTCTGGTGGCAAGCTAGCAGCAGTTCCCATTCCTGTCAAGAGAAGCCTCACGCCAAATTAGTGAAAGGGTAAAACTCTTCCGTCAAAATAAATGTGAACATTACCACACTAAAACCATTTATTTATAAATTCAAACTGACAGGCGAATTAAGGATAAAGAGTGAAAACACTGGAGAAACTCAACAGGGACAGTTACATCTATTTGGAGATGAAAAACAGGGGTTGGAAAATGGTGGTTTTTATGCTGTTGACAAAGTGTCGGGTAGGGAGGGAGGGAAGGAACAGATGGTGAGGGTGCCCAGAGCAAAAGATCAAGGGAGTTCTAAAGGTGGTAATTTTCCAGCCCTTTTCAGCTCCGAAGAAGAGTCATGTTGGATTCAAAACATTAATTCTAATTCTCTCTCCACAGATGCTGCCAGACCTGTTGGAGAAGCCTCTGCTTTTACTTCCGATTTCCAGCATCCGGTATTTTGCTTTTTAATGAATTAAGGTATCAGCTGATCAAGTTGTTCACATGAGCATGGGACTGACTGGTTTGCTCTTCAGAGAACTGGCATGGACTTGATGGGACGAATAGCCTCATTTGATGTTTTAATGACTGCGCAAGTGTTCTGTTTGGGAGCAGTCACCAAAGGGAATTGACAAATACTGTACTGTTTGGTGAAATGTTAGAAATCTACACCTGTGAACATTATTAAGTTGGAGTAGAGAACACCACTCAAGAATTATGGAACAATGGAAAACATTGTACCCTGCTCAGGTTGTTTGTGAGCATTACCATTTAATATCTGTAAAGTGTCTCAGTAATGATACAGCAGCCTTGCTGCGTTACATGGGACCCATTCTTTAGTTATCGATCGCATTGGAAAATACATGAAATAAATTGCTACATTACCTTGAAAGAGGAAAATCAAACAGCGTTTGATAGTCCATCTGGGAGCAGCAGATGTTGACATGGAGAGTTGGGGATGGGGATGTTCCCAGTGGAATTGAAAGGCCATAATGGTTAAAATCCTTTAAGAAATTTGTACTGCCCTACGTCCACCCATTAGCACAGCGTCTTTTCTTTTTAAGGTGTCCAAATGCTCACCAGATTTAGGTGCTATCACATCAACATAGACAAATGGAGACCGAAAGAATTGCGGATGTTGTATAAATTAGAAACAAAAACAGAAGTTGCTGGAAAAGCTCAGCAGCTCTGGCAGCATCTGTGAAAAGAAGTCAGAGTTAACATTTCAGGTCCAGTGACCCTTCCTCAGACAAATTGAGATTGCTGAACCATGTTGTTTCACTTCAAGACCAGGACAAGGCCAGAAACAAGTACTTTCCCAATTACTGATCTGATTAATCTTAGTCATGGTGTCTTAAAAAAAATGAACAAAAATATCACAAAACATTAAACTGAATATACATCAGGGACTGGTCTAGATTTCCAATTGACTTGGTGACAATAATTGCAAGGATAAAGATTTCAAGCATGTTGCTGTTACACTTTTCTGTCTGTTCCATGGAATTCTCACTGACAGTCTGTGTCTGATATTTCTCAATGTTCCCACAACTTTTCCCAAGTCAGGGGCAGCAGATAAGAACTTATCTCCATGCATTACCTGTAATCACAACACTGATTAATATCCTGTACACATTTGTAACGTTGAATGTGACAATCCCAGAAAGTGTGTGTGTGGCCTGAATGGGGCAGAAGGGGGTCTGGGGCCAGGAAGTTCTCATGTTGTTCCCATGTGAGCCAAGAGAGATTTGAACCCCTGGCCTAGTTATCGTGTGTCAGGAGGCCAGGTTTGGGGAAGCAGTTACTAGGTGGGTAGCAAATACGGGGTGGGAGACCCTGGGGTTTTGGAAGTCACCACCATTACTCAATTCTAGTTGTTCCTGTCACAAACTACATCTGCTCTTCCTAACACACAACGAAACTGTAACAAAAAAACACAAAGCTCAGACTTAGCTGGGATCTCTAATTATAATTACACAGGTTTGAATTTGTACAGTGTCTTTCATAACTTCATGATGCACCAAAGTGATTTCCAACCATTAAAGTACATTTGAAATATAGTCAGTAGTGCATATTTGTGTAAAAGGCTGGAAGATAAACTATCCGGAGACATACATGGCTAAAGACTTAGTCTGTTTGCTATTACTCCTCCCATAAGACAGCTTCAGACCCAATTACCCATATTACTTCCTTTTCCCTGGCAATGTTCACCCTGAAGATGTTGAATCCTTGTTGGGATACAATTATATGACACCCGATGGTTTGGAGCAGCTAATCCTCACACAGCTAGTATGGTAAGCGAGAGAATGCAGCCTGCTTCTGCCTTCACCAAACACAATGTCCACACATTTTCTTCCTGTCCATGCATTGTTTTGGAAATGGCAATCAGGAGAAAAACCTTGTTCCTAATGGGGGACAGTATTCTTGTGGACACAGGTCGGAGATCAAATCTGGTGCAAATTGAGGATTAAACCTGAGACATTGCTGGACAGTAAGACTCGGCTTTAAATAGTTGAGTCAACAGTAAATCAACAGCAAAAAAAGAACTGGATGCTGGAAATCGGAAACAGAAACAGAAATTGCTGGACAAACTCATCAAGTCGGGCAGCATCTGTGGAGGCAGAAAGCAGAGTTAATGTTTCAGGTCCAACAGGGTCACTGGACCCAAAACATTAACTCCGCTTTCTCCCTCCACAGATGCTGGCAAATCTGCTGAGTTTCTCCAGCCTTTGATTTTGTAACAAAACAACAACCACCTTTTCAACTTATACATAAAATTTAAAAGTCTACGTTTGGTTATTAGTCAATAAATTCCCAAGAATTCAATTCTCATGTCACTATCCTGGTAAATACTTGGTCTTCACCATGGAAACACAATGATCTGTTTTCGTTCATCATGTGCTCCAATTCCTGTCCATCGTAAAAGCTCTGGGGATGTCAGCATTCGACAAAGATGTTAAAAGAAAATGAATGAGGCAAGCAACTGATTTAAAATTGGGCCGTTCCGCTGCCATCAGCTGCTGAATTGTGACCGACAGTTGCGTGCCTGCTGCTGGGGCTCGAACCTGCAACCAGGAGTTTTACTGGACGCCGGAGAAAGATTTGTGAGCGAGCTCTCTTGTGCTCTGAGAGAGATCGGGCAGCTGCTCCTGTGGAGCAGAGCTGAGGGGACAGCAGTGATCCAGCAGATCAGCTGATAGTGACGATTCAGACAAGCAGGTGGGAAGAAGCCGAGCTTACCAGCGACGCACAGTAATTTGGGGAGTTACAGTCATCTAGTGACTTAAGAACCTGAAAAAAGACACTGCTCATCATCCACATTCTCTGCATGGTGCTGGGATCAGGAGAGCAGTCTCCTTGCCCTTTATAATAAGGTCCGGGAACCTGAAATGAACACAAGATTTCAATGATCCAAGGTGATTTCCTGTCACCTACCACTCCCTTGGACTTCTGCCAATTAGCCCACCATTCACACAGAAAGATAGATAAGGAAGTTATGAATAAATTAAAGGTTAACCTCACAGAGTGAATTGATTGGCGTGTTTTTTTTTGTTATCAGTTCATGGTGTTGACTGTTCGAATAAAAAGGTAGGGGACCGCTGTATTAAATGGTCACATTGTCAACTCAGGCTGAAGATACCTGGCCCCGAAAAAGCCAGAAGTGAGTCAAGCTTGTCGTCTGAAGGGAACTCGATATGGTGTAGTGGGAGATAGCCCCGAGAGCTGATATTTTACCTGAGTGGCACCCTTCTTATCTTTGTAAAACTCTCGGCTTCCTCTTCTCTTCAAGGAGCTCTGTAAGACACAAAAGCCAAAAAGCTATCATGAAAGAAAATAAGAGATAACATAAACATTCACAATGCAGGGTGAAAAAATTCCCAGTCACCACCCACTTATTAAAAGTTTCAAGATAAGCAACTTAACACCTCGATTAAAATGGTAGGCAAGTGTCAGAAGAACACATTGTGCCTTTGCTGACTGTTATCTTTAAACTTGGATGATAATTGTACCAGTAAACATTGATGTGACAGCCCATTATAAAAAGAATTGCAGATATTTCATAACTACAGGATATTGCAAAGTTCTTTACAGCCAATGAAGTGAATTTAAACAATAGTCACCACTGTCCTCTCAGCTTTTATACAATTACAAATATTCTTTACTTTGTAATGATATTTGTGCTGAAGTCCATATCATCCAGTACGCTTCCTAACGCGTCTGATAACTAATTTTCTGCTTTGACTGCTCTGTACACTGATATCCAGTTGGTGAATTAGGAAGCAAAAGACTTTCAGAGATTTATAAAGGCTTTAGGTATTTCAAAATAACATGTTATGACATACCACTGGAGCTGGGGTACTTGAAGTCAGACCTCTGGCTCAAACACTACCATTGCTGCAGGCTGGATGTCCATCAATGGGAGATTCACCATCTCCTGCAGCAAGGTCCAGCTCAGGCCTTCACTGTCCAGCACATCCCTGGTCATCTGGTCACCCCCACCCTGCCCAGCTACTTGAACCTGCTGTGATGGAGATGTAGCTTCCTGAGCAGCAGCTCTCTGAGTGTACCCCTGACAACGGGAAGACCCGGTGTGAGTGAACCATCTTCCAAACGTTGTTCGGGGTCCCAGTCAAAGGCAGGCAGTGTCCTGAGGGAGGCCCAAGCTGCGTGACTCAGGCACCCTGTGATAAACACATCGCCAGAGTGCGCTAGCTGGGAGGCTGCTCGATCCTGCAGGGTCCGAAGGCAGAAGTCAGCAGCTGAAAGCAGTGGTATACCAGTGACTGAGATAACAAGGTGTAGAGCTGGATGAACACAGCAGGCCAAGCAGCATCAGAGGAGCAGGAAGGCTGACGTTTCAGGCCTAGATCCTTCTTCAGAAGTCAAGGCCCGAAACGTCAGCCTTCCTGCTCCTCTGATGCTGCTTGGCCT